CCGGCAGTCGATGAGGAGAGGGTGTTTGGCAGTGGTGAATGCACGGGGCGGCCATACACGATATTGAACTGAGACATTTCGCATTTTTATTCTTGTGACTTGACATTCTGCATACCCATGTTTTGGAACGGCGGTGTAGCCTAATGGAACTGATTATGGCACTGTCATTGTATCGAGTACATCCCACAGATCTCAGCAATGAAATAATTACAATTTAACCATCTTACCATCTCTTGTTCTTTTATAGTGCCCTGAAGAAAGAATGTGAAGTTTCTTTTTTGACTCAGTATATATATGGTAGAGTTACGGTACCGTAGATTACAAGATTTGTATTCAAGTTGTATAGTGGCCAGGTTTTGTTGTTTATCACAATATAATACTTATACAATATATTTCCAGTAACACATAGTTTTTTAGAAAAAACCCTGTATAGTAAGTTTGATGATCAATTTATGCAAATTAGGTTAGCCAATCATGGGTACCCAATCATGATTGGCGATCTTCTCCTAGACATCTAACTTTTGATAGTTTGAATTTTGTGAACAATAAATGATGTTCTTACAATATAATGACCTATCATTTTTAAAAAAATATTTTTTTTTAATCATTTTCAGTTATCAGTTGGTGCTCATTTCACGAGGTGATTTATCTGGCATTTATGCAACTATGATTTGGTGGGTGGTTTGGTTTGGGATCATGATTAAGGGCTTACCCGGTTTTGGTTTCTTGAATACCATGCACTCGGTTATGTCGAAACCTAAAACTGGGTTCTGAAACTTCGAAATCATCTCCGAGGCAGATTTCGCAGTTTCGGTTTCGCGATCTCTCACAACAAACATGGCGGAAACGAAGTTCAGCTGATCTTGGTGGCAAAAAGAGCAGTAGTTTCTGTAACCAAAATAATGATAAAAATCAACTGAGAACTTGGAAAATATTATTTAAAACCTCAGTCTATTGAACATGAGTGTTCTATGTAACTTGTATAGATATAATTACTTGTAACAGTATAATTACATATACGCAAATATTTACCTCCAAAAGCATCTCATCTCTTTATTATTTGTTAATTCCCTGATAAAATGACCCACAAAAATATCACCTTCGGTAATGCTGTCATTCAATTTGTTCCTCATATATAGTAGCTGAGAAATTTATTTTGTATTCATTTTGAAACCGGATGGTGAAACCATCCACTCGTTTATAAAACTAAAAACTAGTTTCACCGTTTATAACAGGAGAAACCAGTTTCAGAGACCAAAACCAGTTTCGCATTAATCGAACAGGCCCTGAGGATAACTGAACTGGTCATTGATGTTATATATCTACTTATCAGCGTATAGGTCCTGGACTTCTGGGTGCAAGGGTTCGCTGACTTGGTTGATATATGCCATCGTACAACAACTGCGATCGATGCTCATGATGTTAATCACTGTATTTTCTGATCCAGACTCGATAATTTACAGACGGCTGTCATTTAGATGGGATATTGCTGAGTACGAGTAATGTTGGGTCGATTGACGGATGTAGTTTACTTATGTCATCACGCGATCTCTGAAAACGATCACCGACTTCTAATTTCATTTCAAAACTGTAGTGCAAGTTGAAACTGTACACGCAATGGCTTTAATTATACCCCTGCATATTCTTATTGTTCCCAATAAGTGGGAAGTGGTGGTACCCTAGTAGCTAAAGCGTTCACTCCACATACCGAACACCCGGGTTCGATTTCCACATAGGTGGAATGTGTTTCTGGTGGGCCCCGTCCTGATATGACTAGGGTATTGCAAACCGCGGCGTCAAACAATACTCACTCACCCACTCCAATCCTTGGGCCAGGGAATAACAGAGTTTGGGCTTAACGCCCCCTTCAACAGTTTCCATTAATGTCATCACGGTCAGCAAAATGTAGAGCAACGTCCAACGCGACGTACACATCAAAACATTGCCAGTGCCCTGTCAGCTCCAAACTTAACAACCGGCGCCGTCGTTTAATTAACGTCATTACAGTAAGAGCCGAGAGCAGGTGCTTGTGTCGAGTCGGGCCTGTCATAGAGACAAACCATCGTAATGTTATACTTGACTGAAGGAACCGAATAATAAAGAAACGGTAGGCTATGGAGATGTGATGCTACAATATGCTCCCTCTGCACCCCTAGGGCTCGCCTTTCGATAAACCAACTCTAAACACTATATCCATTCCAGGGTTTATCAAAACATCCACCTACGATTCCCCCTACTATTATGCCAACCAATCAAAACGTCGAGATTGCAATAAATACAAAATGGGTAACAGAGAACTTGCCAATTCCGGTTTTTAATGAACATGAGATATCTGACGGCTTTCTTTCGTGTGTCAGTCACGTTTTTTTTCATGTTGAATTTCCATGACAATCAATGGAGCAGGTATTGTGTGATAGTGAGGCTGGTTTGTAACACGCTTTTTGATTGGTCCGTTCGACGGTATGTGCAAATCAAACATTCGTAACTACTCGCCTCTTTCAGAACCTACAAGAAGACTCGTACCTGTAAAGTACGCCATTAGTGCCAAGAATCGTGGCAAACCAATCCCGCGTAGTAAAATGTGAACTAAGGTCATATAGTTTCTTTGCGATTATTGATTTTCATTAATATTTCCGTGATTATGAAATTATATACTGAACATCATTAAAATTAAAATGACCGTTGGCAAAAAAACGTTCTCATTTTAGCTGTACCTCCGCAAGTAAAGTTTATTTTGCAATGCCAAGATTGTCACCAGAGGAACGAGAACGGGCGTTGGGCATGTTGCAGGTTGGCACATCAAGCAGGATTATTGCCACACGATTTGGTTGCCATCATTCCACCATCGTAAGACTTGCCAAGAGATACCAACAAACAGGAACCACCAGGGACCGCCAACGTCCTGGCCAGGCACGTGTTACCACCCCTCGCCAAGATCAAGACATTGTTCGGCGCCATATTCGGGAACCGCCAACGCTGTCCAAGGCCGACGTGGTTTGATCAGTGCTTCCATCGTCCGACGCCGTCTCCGTGCGGCAGGATTACGGTGTCGACGCCCTTATGTTGGACCCATCCTGATTGATAGACATCGCCGTGAACGCCGACGATGGACTGAACAGCATCGTTTTGGGTTGTTACGACGTTGGCATGGTGTTGTGTTCTCCGACGAGTCACGTTTTCACTTGCGAAATGCTGACGGGAGTCTACGGGTATGGCGTCGACGGGGAGAACGTTACCATCAGGACTGTGTTGTGCAAACAGATCGGTGGGGTGGAGGAAGCATTATGGTGTGGGGGGTTCAACAACCTTAGGGAACTTGCGAATGCCTTGCAACAAGAATGGAATGCATTGCCTCAAAACATTATTCAGAGACTTATCAGTTCAATGAGGAGACGCGTACGTTGCACAGCTTGTGTTTCTGCTAACGGTGGTCATACACGTTACTGACTTTCCAATTTGACCCCATCTTTCTTTCATGGTCAGCTGAATTAAAACTTCACTGTTTTGCTGGATTGGTTCTTGTTTCTTTTCTTTACCAATCATTGGACTACAAAAGTATGTAAAATTTACACCGATTGCTCATTTATGCTCTTGGAAATCCAAACAAATACAGGTGGTGCGTTTTCAATGATGTTCAGTATATACTGTTATTATTTATGTTTTTATTGCCCGTCAGATGTGTACATGTACATAGTTATACATACATACATACATAATATTATACATATGTTTATGTAGTGAGGCTATTGCAGGCTTAACCTTATTTGATAGGATGCTAGGTATACATCAATGTTACATAAGATACATATTCTCTGAAAATAACAATTCAAAAATTAAGTCTACAGTGCGTCTAATGTGTGGAAAGAGGGCCAAAATGCAAAGAATTTGGGCTGATTAATATTTGTAAAGGCAATATATTTGCATGCCTGATAGTATCTAAATATTTATTTCTAGATACATTTAAAATTGTTTTTTCCCCTTTTCTGCTCATAGTGTAAATATTGTGTTTCACCATTGAAGAGAGAGACCTCCCCTTGAGACCAAATATACTATTTCTGGTGTTAAATCAATGTATCCTTCAGCTAACTTTTCGTACCATTTAGCCAATTCGTTCCATATGAATGAATGAATACAATCATATAACACATGCATAATAATCTCAGGCACCTGTTTACAAAAGGGATATACAGGTTAATCAACGTATCCAATCTTATGCAATAAATATTAGTTGTCTTTGAAAATAATTGAAAAATATTCTGAGTTATCTTGTGCTGGAAACATATTCAATTAACACTTTGAGTACATCAATTAGCCATTCAATTGATATTTTCTCATTCATTCTGTTGGAATTCGATGTCCAATGTTTCTTCCCATATTAATTGGCCCTTAGTTTTATTAAAACAAAATAGGCATAGTGATTTATAGAGATATTTACTATTAACTATTTTGGAAATATTAAAGGGGAAAATAGGATAGGCAAGTATGTTTTCAACATGGGTGAAAGTGAAATTTCTGTTTTTCACATATTCAAACATTGCTCTTTTAAGACCTTGGTATGTAAGAAAATCACCATCAATTTTGTATTGATAGTTCAATTCTTCAAACGACAGCATGTTGTCGTCACCATTTCCAATATTTCTAAAGCATGTTATTCCATTTTCCTCCCAATTTTTGTGAAAGACTATTTTGCCACCAATCAAAATATTGCTGTTCTGCAAAAAGAGATTAATGTATAACCTCTGTACTATGTACCTAATTTTGATAACAAATTGTTCGGTAGTCAGGCCATCCCTCCACAATCTATTTGATATAGTTGGTAGCATACATTTGCTAATATAAACTCCATCAGCAAGTCACAGTCTCTGAATATTTAGAATGAGGCATTTTCTATCCATGTAGAAGTGTCTGGTGACGGTGACAGTAACACATCATTTCTTCCTAGATCCGATTACATAGTTTATGTGAGTGAATAATTAGTATTACTAACTCTTGTTTTTAAGGTAACACCAGGAAGACGCACCTTCCAGACATCAATCAATTCGGATGGAGCTTGATGTGCAGCCAACCCTAGATACAGTGATCGTCCTGTTACCTGTATCCGGAGTCACCGACGTTAAGCAGAAATGACCCAGTGCTGTATTTCCGACGTGGTTAACAACTCAACTCGCGGCCTATTAAGCACGCGTGGAAGTGGTTCGCAAGTGTTGTGTGTTAGGGTCAAGGGGAGACTTCTGGCTGTTGGATAAAAGCTTCCAAAGTCGATACATTTGTGCTTAGTGCAAATGACAGTGTTGATTATAGCGGAATACATTCACCAGACGGTCCATGGTTGCCAATACACTACATGAAGACGAATAAATCAAGTGCAGCGATAGACATTCAAACAAAACCAAGTCTTTGTACGAGCGAGTGACGTTTGTGTTGCAACAATTCTACCAGATTAGGACCAGAGAATTGGAAACTTATGTCAATACACTGAAGAGCCTACCGTGATGAGGTGCTCTCGTTTGTTAAGGAACAACCATTTGCATTTCAGCTCTACTGGAACAATAATGGTATCGATTGGTATCCTTAAAACGTGTTTGAAGTATGCGCTTGAGAAAATAGCTCAAGACGGTGTTTTGTAAAACCTTTTTGTAGTCGTCCTGAAAACAGCTAACGCACGACTTGCCATTGAACTTCTTCTACCTCATCTTCTAGTACGGAACATAGTACTTCCTTGTCCGGAATAAACACGTGATCAGTTACTGATAATTCACTGGGAGTTTCATACTTACTTGCAGGACATGAAGATTCTTTCCAATCAATATGGATAAAGAACCAAAAATACGTCGTTTCTTTACGCCTGTTTCAGATGACCTACTTATATGGTCAAGGCATTTGTCCATGGTTTTCATTTAAGGAGTGTGCCCAAGAAATTTGTTTCAGGAGCGTGTACAAGGGGCGTATCGTGTATCAAGGAATTGTTCATGGCTTGTGACCAACACGTTAGTAAAACGCTTTATGCAAGGTTCTGTTCAAGGTGTTAGTCCCAGGTCTTATTCAAACTCTTCGAGTTTCTTCAAATCTGCTGTCCCTGAGGACGACCAATGATGTCTTCCGTCAAGATGTTCACGGCGTTGACGTGAAGCGACATGCTAGTTTTTAGAATTTCTGTCTAACATGAAATTTGATATAAATGTTGGCTAAATATTAATATACCGCATAAAGTCTGTTTGAAGTGTAATCTGACTTGTATGAAAACATCTTGAAAGAAAGAACAAACCTTATTGATTACATGTATGTCGGTACAGTAAGGTGATTTCAGCAGTGCACAGACCTTACATTTCACATTTAAAGCCACAATTTTAGAATTCTGTCTTCATAATATCTGCACAAGATTGGAAATTGAAATTGAAATTCTTACATATTTTATAAAATGTCAGTCGTTGCTAAGTTCTATATGGAATACGCGCCATAACATAAATATTGAATTGATTTTTATCAAATTCCAAACAAAAGTCTGCTGTATTACCTAAAAAAATACAGCAAAAATATCAGGAAACATTTCATTGTAAAGTCGGGAAATAATGGCAGTGAGAGATCGTGTCTAAAATTTCTCCTCCAGCACAGCGACTCAGTGAAAGATGCAAGAACGGATGAATTGCAAGTGGAAATTGCAATTAATCTGGCGAGATGTCAAAGGACATTCCATTAATCTTGAGTGTTTATATTTAACTGAAATTGCAAGTTTGTCAATACAGAAGCGAGTGCTATTCATTTCTGAAGCTGGAATATTAAGTTATATGATGGCAAGCGTGTCAAATATCGCATAGTGTTGTCTTCAATTAGCCAGCCAGGATTTCAACTGTGTAAGCTGAAATTTGGAACGGATCCTGTGTTGATTATTTAAGCGTCTCAGCTGTGTCCACATTGTGTCGGAATCATCTACTGCAGGAATATGCCAGACTTACGGAATGGAAAGAAATGAAACATATCTGAACCATGTGAAGGCATTGTGAGTGACTGAATCACAGAGTGAGATTAAAATGCAATGGGGTGTCTCCTAACGCTCATTATGAACAGTTCACGAAACATAACATCACCGATGCCTGCCGAACAGATGTTGATATACAGCATCGCGATGATTCTCAACACCTTCATACTGCCCATCATTGTGTTCACGGGGCTGGTGGGGAACACCATATCCTGCATGGTGTTCGTGGGCAAGGATTTACGCCGCCTCTCCTCCAGCGTGTACGTCCTCGCTGTCCTCATCTCAGACACGGGGACGTTGTTGTGTCTCCTTTCAGTGTGGTTGGAAGTTCTTGGATTTGGAATCAATCATATGCAGGGTATATGCCAGCTGTTCGTATACCTGACCTATGTGTGCAGCTTCCTCTCAGCGTGGTATATGGTGTGTATAACGGTGGAGAACTTCATTACGATCTGCCACCCTATGAAGGTGAAGGTCATGTGTACAAAGAACCGCGCAAGCGCTGTTGTGGTTATTCTGGCCGCCGCTGGCATGCTGATGTACTGTGTTACTGTGATCACTACTCATGTGAGGACGAGTTCTTATAACCAACAGCTGTGTGATCAGAACCCGGACTTTGGTTTCCTGGTGTCTGTGTTCACCTACGTTGATTCCATAGTGACGCTTCTACTTCCGGTGTCAAGTATAGGGTTCATGCTCGTCGCCATGGGATTCTCTATAGCCAATACGGTTCGATGGAGAAAAAACAGCCCCCGGACAGACAGTGCACGGAGATGTATAAAAAGTCCACAAGTCCGAGTGACAAAAATGCTATTTGCCCTTTCAACGACATTTTTAATAATGAATGCTCCCTTACATTGCATGAGGTTGTACTACCTTCTCCGGGACAGCACCAATGCACCGACACAGATGTCCCACACCGCAGCATTGGTCCATCTGTTTCTGCTGTTCATCTCCTACTCACATTGTTCAGTGAAGTTCTTCCTATTTATTGGTTTCAGTAGAAACTTCAGGAAAAGTTTGAAAGAAGTGGGATTCATGTGCTCCGTTTGTACCAAAGATGTGAACAGTCACCCAGCCTATGTATAGACCTGTTAAGAGCCTGCAAGACTCCATTGTTTGGGTTTTTTGTCACCAAAACTGAGGACGTTTAACTGTATGCCTTTGCCATAACTGGTTCAACACAACATTGTTCTTAGGGTTTAAAGAATGAAAACATACGGAGAAGTAAGCAGGCCCCCTTACTTCTCCATATTTTGACAGACAGAGAAACGGTTAAAGAGGAAGAAAGAGCAGATAACTGTAATTATGTCGACATGCGTTTCATTTTGCCCTATTTATACTGTAAATTGTATTGATTTAAAATTTGTCAGTGTACATTAAGTTATTGATGAATAGTATCCCTTTGATCGTGTATAACAATAATCTCATTGGATCACATTACATTTGTTGAGAATATAAACAGTCGGCGAAAAAGATATACACCACTGTTTGATTGTGGGTAAAACTGAAACAACAAGAACTGGTATTTCGATGGTGATGTATTTGATACGAGTAGCAACATCAAGATGGACGACAGATTTTGCGAAGTTTTTCATGAGTACTGTTTACATACCTTTTCACTTTTGTAACTTTTCAAAATCCAAGGGTTAATTGTATACTTTCTTTTACCCTTCAGTATAATACACAGGTTGTATTATTGTATCATATACAGCCGCAATACTTAAATATTGCAAGTTCACATTTACTCTCTACGCCTTTCGGATGTGTTCATGTACTTAGTAAGAAATGATGAATTTTGTTTTGGGTTTGAAACTTTAACTCATTCTGCTTAGCTTTGGAACGACGTGCGGGAAAAGGTGAACGTTATCTCATTGTGCCATTTTATATTTGCTTTATGAATAATATGGCCAATATTATGTGTAACAAAGCATTAAAGAACAAATATAACAGAATTCGACTTTTAATTACAAGGACCATGAACGTGTTAAAGGTATGGGATACAGAAGACATATGTTCCCTTACCACTGTCTTTCTTGATGTGGGTTCGAATCCCTGATAGTCTATATCACTCTGCTTGTGGGTTTAAACAGAGTGATAAACATTCACTGGCTTCACCATTTTGGACTACCTCCCCACATTAAATTATCACGCTGTGATAAAACTGAAACATTGTGTCAGACCCATTCCATCACATCATTAAATCTTTTTTTAACTGGTTTGGGAGTTACATACCTTTGCCAATCACAGGTCCGCTGTTGTGGGTTCTAACTGTGGATTCGTTCCTTCGCTTTACGGTATTTCAGCAAACTAAGAAACATGAAGGACCTGCTCAAGTGCAGTTCCCGTATATAACTGAAGTATGCTACTCAAAATAGTATAAAGAACCCCACTTAATTATTTCTTACTTCTACAGTATTCTATAATTTCTTTTAATAAACAACGTAAAGACAACTGACTTACTGATAAGTCTGAAGTGCAGCTGAAACATCGGACGGCGCCTCTACCGAGATTCCTACCAACTCGAAGTGTTGGTTTGAAGTAAGTCGGGTTAAACCTCACACATTCACAAACATTAGTTATATTAGGGAGTTGTATGCCATAAACAAGCGCTAGCACATATATCAGCAACAACTTTGCATTTGCTACACTACCACGAAAAAGTCATTTACTTGGCAACACGAGTAATTTGCAGACATTTTGCAAACGTTCGACGAAGCTACGAAGACAATCAGCGGAACTAACGGATTACCCGCCAAGGGGTCTTTGAATGGCTTTTAGAAGCGATATACATAAGGAAGAGAGTTTTGTGGCTGTCAACTTTATAATGAGGTACCCAACATTTTGGAGTATATACTTACTCCTTCGTAAGGCATGAGGCACAGAGCATATGTACGTTCAACGCCAGTTAACTGTTGGCATCCCTCGTTTGGCCCCCATCTTTGGTATAATTAATTTTGTTGTTCATTCCTTAATGAATACGAATGACGGTCCAGTAATAATAAAGATGTGAATGGAGTATACCTCAATATAGCTCATGCGTGTGTCGATTAGTTAATGGAAGTTTAGTGAAACATAAACAACAGCAACAAAAAAAATAAAAAAATAGAAACGGTAAATGGAAAACATACAGAAAGAAACACACCAATTTTCTGTACTTCATTGCATGGAAACTGTCTTCAAAATTTACTCACAGTGGCTACATACGAGGGGCGTCCCACAAGTAGTCAGCATCACCCAGAAAATTATACAAATGCAGCTGCTTTTATACTTTATTTTTCTACATATTATCTCTAAACGTCAAACAAATTGCTTTTGCCATGTTCCAGCCTCACGATCCCCATATTTTTTATTCTTTATCTTGGTACCCCCCCCAAAAAAACGATGTGTTGTGATGACTAATATCTCGTTAACCACATTACCGACATATGTGAAATTTTGGATATAGCTTTGCTAATGATTCCTTCAAAATAACATGGAAGCTCTTCTAACATTGGACATCGAGAATATATACTACGCATCAAACGTCGAAGGGCATGTCCAGTTGAAAAAATGCTTTAGAAACAAATTCCTGTCCACAGTATGACTCTTAATTCCAAAATGCATCAACATGCAGCCAATCCATGAAAAAAGCGCGAATTTCATTCTGAAATCATACTGACTGTGACATTAAAAGCGGGTGTATGAGAACCGATTCTCATTGCTTCACTAACGATTGTGAAACGAGGACAGAGATGCCGAGGTTAACACCTCACGAAAGAGAACGTGAAATACAAGGATAT